TTTTGTACTCAGGTAATCTGCTTGTTGGACAGAAAACAGAACTCAAGATTCCCTGTTGACATAATCCTGAGCAAAAGCCTCCGGGAATTAGCAGAAAGTCTCTCCCTGGTTTTAGCAGTCTGCATAAGTAGAAAGTAATGCAATGCAGGATACCATCAGTAACATACAACCTCTCCAGTATCTAGCAACCTGGGCAAGCAACAGAAAATCCATGAAGAAAAAAATATTCATTAGATTCTCAGCACAACACAGTGACACAGGATTTCCTATAAATCAAATAAATAATGGGGGGGAGGGGGAACCCACAGAAAACTAAGACGACAGTGATATCAAATTTAAATAAACTGAGATGCAAGACAAACGCAGATATAACAATCTATGCCATACAGAAATATATGGAAGTTTACCCAGAAATATTCTTATCACCACAAAAGCTTAGTGGTCTAATCAATATGTATACATCAAAAAAGCAGCCAGTCAAAGCTGACCCTAAGCACAGGAACTGTCAAAACAGTATGGAGAGATACCGACCACAGTCAGTCAAAGAGAGGAAAAAAGGCACACAGAAATAACACAGTGACAAAGGGGTTCATTTTCCTTATGTTCAATTTCAGAAATCTGGATGACATCTAAAGCAAAAGTGTCACAGAGAAAGTTGTATACATCAGAGAGGTGTCATCAGCCTGGCAAAAGCTGAAAATTCTATCCTCCATCATATTAACGTTGATACCTCCAGTACCTGTGCAGAATTTTCCTTTTCTACTGGTAAAATAAAGGCATAAAATACATTTCAGTAGAAAATTACAAAAGCTGGGGCAAGCACAAAGGAGTGTGAAGAAGCACAAAAGTGCATAGAAGGCTAACTGAAATAAGAATTTAATCAGATCAAAGACTATTGATAAGACTGATGCTCAATCCCAAAGAATTAAGAAGTTATCCTAATTCACACGGTCTTGTACTCTCTTGTATCCATGATCACAAAACACTGAAAAGTCTTCAAAAAGTTGAGAACAATTCAGTTGTCTTTTTGTAACAGAGGTTCAGAATGGGGGAAAATAAGCAAGATGACCACTAAAAAACCTGAAAAGGTTCAGTGCAGCAAGGGATACAGATAAAGGGGTGGTGGGAGGGAGCAGGAAGAGCCATCCCCCGGAAAGTAATTGAAAACCTCCTCCCCAGTAAATTTGGTAGATATATTGTATTAAAGACAAAGAAAGTCAAGTGAAGGAGTAAAAATAACAATTTCCCTTAGGAATTACATGCAAGATTGCTTTGTAAAACAAACGAACCAGCCAAATGCTTTTCTCTGGAAAAGCAAAAGGCCGCCAATCTTGGTGAAAATACAACTATAAAAGGTTTTGGCCAAATATCAAAGAACATGTTTACAAAAGAGCCACATTCATTGTAATACTAACCATTCAAACATCACAATAGATTTCAGGAGAGAACAGGATGCAACGTCAAACATCTGTTATCACGTTATTTTCTTCAGCTCCTCTGCACGGAAATTGTATCTAGACCTTGTCCATCTTCCAAACCTTATTAGAGGTAAGTCAGATGTGGGCTGGAGGCCGCGTTGTTTTTACCGTGCCTTATACAGCATGATGACAGCCCATCATGTCCAAGACACATGGAAACGTTCACTTTTTAACAGGTTATATATAACCCAGCTGAAGAACCTCACTGAGCAGAGTCAGCTGTCCAAACTGCACAGACATTGCATAGACACATCTGGAAAACAGTACAAAGCCTTCCTGGAGCCAGGCTGGGGCAGGAGCAATACCTTCTGCACCCAAGCAGGGCAGCCAACTTAGAGAAGTAAGAGTACATGCAGCACTCCAAGAGAGCTGGATTTATGTGCCCACGTATCTTAAATGTGGTGTGCAGACATAATCAGTCCATCTTCCAAAAAATCACTGGACCAAGTAAGCACTGCATGTAACGTACTCAATTTCCTCTCAGGTTTCAGACACGGGGAGATTCAGCATCCAGAAACAGGCTCCCATAGAACAGCCTGTTCTCAAGAAGGACCCAAGAACCTGAGACACCTGGACTATCGTGACAGATTACAAATATTCCACAAGCTGTACAGCAGACATTTTTCATCAAAATTATTTATTTGGGGCAGGACAGACTGGGAGGAAAATGCAAGTCTGAAAATTAAATTATCAAGAAACACACTTCCATTCAAAAATCCTGATACCTATTCCAGGGACAGATATTTGAGACTTAACATAAAGAACAGTAAAATTAATAGGACTATAAGCAAGGAAAATCCCCTCCCTCAGGGGAAAAAAAAAAAAAAGCCGAAAACAAAAAAAAGGCACATAAAAAAAAAACCACAAACCCAAAAAAAACAACCCCCCACTTATTTATCTACTTTGGATTCATTGCAGGAACACATGCAGTGGAAATTAATTCATGCCTGTTTTGCCTGAATAAGTGCTGCAGACAATGAAGTTTAACACATTTAGTACGTAATGGATGTTGCCTTTTCTGTCCAGGAAGCAAATGTGAAGTTAGAGAAAGTGGGCTATGCTCCCTTCCTGGAGTCAACATATCTAGGGCTGGACATGCTCCAGAGATGTATTTCTTGGAACACCTGTACATGGAGTATTTGACCAGTTCCAGGCCAAGGGATTTAAATGCACGGGGAATAAAAGGCAGTTTCCCCAAACTACCCACTGCTACTACTGCTTGTCAATGACTGGGTTTTGCAGATCTCCACTGTGAAGAGACATTGCATTACTCTGTAAATAATTTCATATCAGTGTGCCACTGGATACTTCTATTCAGCATGAGCCAGCTTTCATTTTGGACAATTAACTGCATCAGTAAGAATGCCTGATGTAGCTATGACTGATGAATATAGGATAGTAACAATGTTCATTTTTAACTGTTTGGGTTTTTTTTTCAGACTGCCACCTTTTATCCCTCCCCATGCTCTCAGGCATCAGGGCCTTGGGCAAGAAAAAGGTTTTTTTTAAACAGTGCAGGAGGAAAAGGTTACCTTGTTTACCAATAACTCTGGAGTACAAAGAACTACTTTGTCCTTGCAGAGGAGGCAGAGTAAAGGCAGTGTTTCTTAAGGGCTGAGGTTTCCAAGGCTGCTCTTGTTGATGTGAACGTGACGCAGAGGCATGTCTGCAATCCCAGGAAGCGCAGGCAATGAAAAGGTGCTGGCTCTAGGGGCAAGGCAACTGCCTCTCCTCCCAGAGAGGACAGGATCCAGAGCTACAGCTACAGGATGTCTGAAAGGACAGGCAGAGGAGGAAGCTGTGTAGAAACTACCACCACAGAAGGCTTTGTGAGTAAAGAGATGGCCAACAGACAAGGGTTTGTGATCTTACTGCTGAGAAGGAGATACTTTTAAAATACTTAAATGTTTTTTATTGCACTTCATTAACATTTTAACACATCTGCAAGGCCACCCCATGTGGAATCACTCTGCTCTCTTTTTTTCCTTCCTACATGTTGAAGCTCAGTATTATTATTAAATAACTTCCATTCATGCATTTTCCATACAACCCACAGTAATGACTTACACTGATTCATAAGCAATGAAATCCAAAATCTTTCTATAAAGCATTTCTTAATAGAATCATAGAATAGTTAAGGTTGGAAAGGACCTTAAGATCATCTAGTTCCAACCGCCCTGGTTGGTGACACTGACTGGTCTGTAATTCCCTGGATCATCCATTCTTCCCTTCTTGAAAATGGGGGTTATATTTCCCTTTTGCCAGTCGTCAGGAACTTCACCTGACTGCCATGATTTTTCAAATATGATGGACAGTGGCTTAGCAACTTCATTTGGCAGCTCCTCCAGGACCTGCAGATGGATTTCATCAGGACCCATGGACTTGTGTACATTCAGGTTCTTAAGATGGTCTTGAACCAGATCCTCTTCTACAGTGGGTCTAGGGTCTCCATTCTCACAGTCCCTGCGTCTGCCTTCCAAGACTTGGGTGGTGTGGTCAGAGCATTTGCCAGGGAAGACCAAGAAATCATTCAGAACCTCAGCCTTCTCCAAATCCAGGGTAGCCAGTTCTCCTGAGAGCTTCCTGAGAGGGTCCATGTTGTCCCTAGTCTGTCTTTTATTTGCAATGTAATTATAGAATCCCTTCCTGTTATCTTTCACATCCCTAGCCAAGTTTAATTCTAACTGGGCCTTAGCTTTCCTAACCTGGTCCCTAGCTTCCCGGACAACATCCCTGTATTCTTCCCAGGCTGCCTGTCCTTGATTCCACCTTTTATAAGCCTCTTTTTTCCTTCTAATTTTCCTCAGCATCTCCTTATCCATCCAAGGAGGTCTCCTGGCCCTCCTGCTGCACTTCCTTCTAGTTGGGATGCAACACTCCTGAGCTTGCAGCAGGTGATCCTTGAATATCAACCAACAGTCTTTGGCCCCACTGCCCTCTAGGCCTATATCCCATGGAACCTTACTAAGCAGGTTCCTGAAGAGTACCCAGACATAACTGATTTTGAAAACTTTCTGAAAACTGATGAAGTAGAACTATTTCTCCTGAAAAAAAAAGGCAAATAGGACAAAAAAAAATCTGTAATGAAACAGGAACAGTATGATAAAAAAAGTTACTTTCCTGAGGAATGAAAAGGAATGTAAGAGATGAGATGATCATAGTTATTACAGTAAGAAGACCTACCCATTATCTAGAGCTGAATTTCATCTGTACTGCTTTAAGAATTTCATTGTTTCCATTTTTTTTAAGATTTTAAATAATGACAATGGTTAATATGTCAGTAGACCGCTTACCCACCTATGTAACTCTGCTAAAAATAAATATTAGCTTCTTGAAAAGCATACAAGAAACCACTAGTCCTTTTCATAAGAAAACACAAACCTTACTTGACATTGGTAAGGTGTTTCCTCTGGCATATACAACAATCACAAATACTAAGAGCCACTGGACTCTAGCACTGGAAATTAGTAAACTATCAGTTGTTATGCATGAGTTAAGAAAATGTAAGACTAAATGGCCTACCTTCACTGCCAAGAAGTTGAGGCCACTTTCATGAGCCAAAGCTTTTGCTATCATTGTTTTTGAGCATCCAGGAGGTCCATAAAGCAGCACACCTTTCGGAGGCTGAATCCCCATTCGGATGAAGGAGTCAGGATGTTTGAGAGGCCATTCAACTGCCTGCTTCAATTTAAGCTTGACGTCTTCCAGTCCTCCTATGTCTGACCAAGATACCTGCAAAACAGACCATTTTGCTGAATTCAGACAATGGAGCAAAACTATTTTTAAAAAATGCTCCGTAGAATGCATACTGGTTATTTCATGACAGTGTTTTGCTGTTTTTAACCAGTCACTTCTTCAAAAGTCCTTTTTCCTTTTTTAAGAAGCAATTATTAATAAAGTCACACAAAGCAAGAGGGTATTAGAATTGCTTTATGCTGGCGGATGTAAGCAAATATTTTGTATCTACTTCAAAGGTCAATAACAAAATATAGAAAAACAACAATAAAATGACAGCACGATCACACAGGCAGCAACACGGGGTGATCACTAGCAAAGTCTCTACTCCGTTCTCTTGGGATTTTTAATGTGATGCTGATGAAGAATTTGCAAATTACTTTGATGTCTTCCCTGAAGGAAAGGGCTTTTATGAGCTCAAGCTGGTTTTATTTATAGCTGCAGAGTAAGGCCCTGATCCCAGCTATTCCACTAAGCTGAAAAGGACTAAGTATTATGAGTTTTGGGGTAGTTTCTCCACTTGCCAGCACCTGCCACCATATAGGACTTGGGCAATGGAGATTTGACTAGAAGCTCAAGAACAAACAATTCTCCAATTAGACAAGTATCTAGAGAGAAAAAAAAAAACAAAAACAAAAACAACCATACACACACAAAAGCAACACTCAAGCCCAAATGCAGTTAAATTTGATGTGCTGAAGATTCAAGACAGGCTTGGCAGGCATACATCAGGACAGAACTAATATGTCCTACCCAAGAGAGCAGAGAGATCTAAAACCTGATACACCTCTCCCCACATCGCTGTCAACAAGCCTGACCGAGACTTCCCCTCACATCCCCCAGCTGGCTCTTCGTCCTGTCACCATACATTCCTGTCCATTTCAAATATTAAACATGTCAAAACACAGCTAAATCAAATGATCTTCTGCCTTAAAACACTCTTCAAAAAATTTGCTAGACATAAATCACCCTTCAGCTCTGGGAAGTCACTACACTTGAAAGGCAAGCAGAGTATTACTAGAAGGCGATTTATCACATTCCTCCTGACTTGAAAACTGGGGTCACTCCTTGCTTGTCCCTATTGTTATTTTCCTGATGCTAGTATAGAGTGGAAACTAATAGTAGACATTCCCTTAAAGAGGCAATTCAGTCTGCTACTGAAGTGGAAGTAAAAGAGCATTTGGATGTGGTGCAAGCACTTTTGTGTAAGTTGAAGCAAACCAAATAAAACTTCTCCATTGTCAGTCTGTCACAGAGAATAAAATTACAAAGACAGCAGAGAGCACGCAGCAGAGATCAACATGCATGGGTCAACCCCTCAGAAATACTCAGAGTTTAAAAGCTAACTGGCCTTTCTGCTGTCTGCAGAACATCATCTCTCTCAGACCAAGAATATGTTACAGGAGCTCTAGAAAAAAGACAAACTGAACTCTTTTTCTTAGTGGCCAACAGCTTCTGGCTCTTAAATAATTACTTTACAAACCAGGGGAAGCATGAAATATGTAGAGCTGATCACCACTGCTTACTAAGAAGAATCTGAGAGCAGAAGGACCAGCAAAGGCAAGATTCTGGTCAAGCCCTGAAGTCCTAAACAAAACTCCCCTCTACCCCCTTTTCAAAAGGACAGAGATGGAGGAGGAAGGGGGAAACCACCAATGATACAACATTCAAAAGAATTCTTTTAGATTTATGAAAGCTTGGAAGAACCAGGTGGACTGCTTTTGCACACAAATCCTCAAGTAACTTCCTGACTGCCATTAACATAAATTCTAGTGAACGCATTCAGACAGCCAGCTACACTTCTTTCAAAGGCACACCAATGCAAAGGAAAGATCTTGTAACATAAGCAATGAAGTCTGATATTCTGTCACTGCAGAAGTGGTTTTAAAGACAAGCCTTGGGGCTGAGCTTACATATACAAAGACCTCTGCTACGGTGTGCAAGACACCAAGATTTAAATACTGATGTAATCTTTACCTCTCCCCAGGTCAACAGAGCTCAGAATACAATGCAGAGCAGTAACTCCTCTGAGGTCGCTAAGCAGCAGCAGCAGCAGCAAAGAAATAAATCAGACATGCAAAGGACGTCTCATCCAGAACCTTCTGGCTGCAGAGACACAAATCTGAGTGTTGAATTACAGCATCAGCTGAGTGGAACAAGCAAGCAAAACCATCGCACTCTACAAAAATTTCAGAAAGACCCATAGGAGAGGGAAGAAAGGCAACTACAGAGAAACTCTCTGAAGAATTGAAGTATTAACTTCCTGATTTACAATGTGAATCCCCTCTCTCCTAAATCCCTGCTGCAGAAAAAAGCAGCCATCTAAAAAGGTTGTAATGCATAGTAAAGCTCAAGAAAGGTTCTGTACAAACAGAAAGCAAGATGCTACATGGAACCAGGCAGTGAGTATTCTGCATTTGTCTTGGTTGTACACAGCAATGCGGACACTAGTAGAAGGACAAAAAAAAGGCAGAAAGAAGGAAAACAACAACAACAAAAAAAAGCATGCGGTGGCAATTCTGCCTCCAACAACTCCTCCTGCACACACACTTTCACTCTGTTGCCACTAATTCACTCCATTGTGGCTGTTTATCCCACTAGAAATTTTGAATATGCATTAGGTAAAAGGAAGAAAGAGCCCAATTTCTGTCAATGACAAATCCCCTAATAACTAGGTTGTTATGGAGCACTTTTCAGAAGCAGACTGCAAAGCATTCTACACAAACTATCAAATACCCTCAAACACCAAGAAGCAATATGCTTAAGGCCACCCAAACAAGTGATTTAAAATATATGTCCTTGTTCCTTAGGTACTACCTCAAGTACGGGTATAACAAGAGGTTTTCCCAGGTTTTAAGTAAGACAAAAGACTGCAAGAGACAATATAGCCCTCTAGCCTTCCAAGCAGCCAAGTTACTAGCACTCAATTCTATGACCTAATAAGCAAAGATTGTTTAGGAAATTAAGTTTCCGTACACCCTACTCCAAGTGCTGAAGATTTCAGTGAACAAGGTCTGTGTTGATGAAAATTTGTAGTGTCTGATAAAACAAGTAATTATTTTCATTCAGTAACAGAGATGATACCAGCTTCAAAAAAATCCAACAGCGGTAAATGACAAAGGTATCATAAGGGAAGAGGTTCTTCAAAGCCCATTTACTTGTGGCTTTATTTAGAAGTTACTTTGAATTTTTTTCATTCAGTTGACACATGGCTAGTGCAAAGTAATGAAATGTGAAAAAAAATAAAGCAAAACAAACCACCTTCTGAAAAGCAGAGTTAAAAATCACAAAAGTCTCAGTTTAAATCAGCACATACATCAACAGTTTTACTTGTAACTAACTGCAAAACCCAGAAGTTCTACCCACACCCAGGTGCGGCCAAGCAAATAACATAACTGTAATAAAGAGCAATAAAGCTGATACTACGAATTAGTGTAGCTCAGACTTCTGTCTTCTGGGGAAAAACAAATTAATCTCATAGATGATCATTTAGTGTTTGAAGTTGATTTTAACAAGGACTTTTTAGAAGACAAAGAGTGTTAAGGAAAGACTTCAAAACATGAAGGAATGTCACTCTTGATTTTCTAACAAATATGCCTACACAATCAGCTGTGTAGCTGGATAGCTTCTGGGGCAAGGAGAGCAAGGAAAGACAAGCCTATCCTGACAGACGAAGTATCTGGACATTAACCAATACCGGATGACTGCCCAAAGACACACTAGACAGGGAAAACAAAACCAAATCAAATCACAAGTTTTAGGTTTCCTGAAGAAAAAGAAACAGAAAAAGCGAACCAAATAGGAGTCCAGCTTTCATTTCCTGCACACCAGGCTATATTTTTTACATTTTGATAAGAATGCAACAAAAGGTGTAAGTAAGGCAGTTTCTGTTGATAAGAAACTACTGCAGAGCATAGAAGTATCACAGTACACCATGGCCCACAGCCAACTAAGTGTTTTATGGGTAAAAGGCCCAAGTCTGTGGACTGGAAGCACTGAAAAGCTTCCAGTCACACTGAAAAGCACTTCCAGTTCTCAGTGGAAGCACTGAAAAGAGGGGTAAATTAGTAAAGAGGAAGAACTTCCTATAGAAATTGAGACTACAAGTGTCAGTTCTATGGCAAGCAAGTAATGTTTCCCACAGGTTTTGCAGAAGCAGACATTCAAGCACAATATTAAATAGCAAAGCAGCCTAGGACACAGTATCATCAGCACAAAATGATGCAACTGATTAATGGCTCTGCAGTTGCACTTATTTGGCTTCTTAGATACCTAGTTTCTATTGAAAACAAGTACTCCAGCATCCAATTATTTGCAAATGTTAGGGCAATCAAACACACAGTTTCAACCAGAGCACTTCAATACACAACTTCAGAGAAGCTAAAATAAATCTGTAAAATTTGAGACATACCTAATAATCAATATGGGAAGCATGCAATGCAAAACGTTGCATATTCCTCTCAAAAAAAAAAAAGCTATCCAAGGAATTAGAAGCTGCATGACATTGTCTGCTACAATCTGTACTGAAAATAACAAATCAACCAATTAAATTCTCTGGTTTAATGCACTAGTTAAATACCAGTACATTAAATACAAAGTGACTGGCACTCAAGTCACTAACAATCAGGTGAGAATAAGACATATTTATTTGTTAATAAAGAGCAAATTACACTAGTCTAAGTTTAATAAAAATTATAAATAGATTTTTTATTATTATTTCTTTTTGCTTGTGCATGTCTATAAAACACAGAGTGGTCAACTTTTAAAACAGCTACACTGTACTAAAGTACATGAATGAGTTTCAGGTGTCTGCAAGTGTTCCTGCAGCACATCCCAAATTCCCAACAAAGAGCCCTACCAGGGGCTTGGATTCCTGTTGCTTGCTTCCCCTGCTCTGCCATCCTGACCACCCAGCTACAGCAGAACCAAGTTCTTTTAACTAACCCATGGACTTGAACTGATGTAGGGCACATCAGCTCCCTGCCTTAAATACAAATGGTAATGGAGTAATTAGCCTTGAGGGTGATGGCTGTGTTACAATGCTGGATTTACATGACTGTGACATTCTTCAACAGTGTATCAGCATTTCCAGAAATTCGGTCTGCTTCTTAGCATGCACAGGTACCTTAATTTTGGTAAGCTGGCAGCTCTGCAGCCTAAAATCATAGTTAAATTGAATTCCAGCACTTCCTTTGGTAGGTGATATGGGAGCATGCAAAATCCGTTGCATCTGGTATTTGTGGTTCCACTTTAAACTCACCCCAGGCACCAAAAAGTTGGGCCTGAACTTTACCCTCTATCTTCAAAGAATATGCATTATTCTGTAAAAATGCAGGTCCTGTCAGCACAAAAGCAATCTTGCACTATGCTGTTATCTTTCCTTCAATAACAGAAGGAATTTCAGTAGTATTCTAGTGACTCAGCTGGTGTTTAACAAATTAAAAACCAGACAATCAAGGAAGCCACCAGCAGGATGGTTTAGTGGACAAGTCGCCTGAGTAGTAGGTTGACCTGGATTCTGAAACAATTCCCTGCAGTACCTCAAGACTTGGCTTCTATCTGTCTTTAGTATGCTGTTTAGCAGCGCTCCATCTGGCTCCAAACAGGTTGGTATGTCTAAAAGACACAGTACAGTTATAATGACGTCAGCCCAAGAGCCAACAGCACAATAAGCAATGAGAGAATTAGTAACTCTGTTCTCAGCAGAACTACTTAGCCCTTGCAGATATTGAAGCCACTACACAATTTCCAGGAAAAGCCGTCTGGGGCCAACCCCAGCATTTCCACCCAGCACTTCACTACACAGTTACAGTTCTTAACAACTCAAGTGTGATATCCGAGCTGGCTGCACGCAGCATCCTGTTCGCAGATTTTACTTCCCATTCTTATAGTTTTGGAATAAGTGTCTACAGTTGTGCAATCTAATTCCCAGATGACTCATCTTCATGCAATGAGGCATAAATGTTTTCTTCTAGGGCTTGGGAGGCTGCTGAGAAACACCAACACAATCACTTGCAGAGTCAAGATTTAGTAAGATTAAATACAACATTTTCTTTTGCTGAATATTCTTAAGCCAGATCAGTCATCTTAAACCAGATCAATTCCCCAGCCCAATTTATGTTGGTTTTGCTACTGAGCTGCCATAACACCTAACTGAGAAGGCAGAGAGCAGGGTAAAGATGAGCCAAAGGAACTGTTCACATAATGCCAGCCCCTGACTGGTAACCACTTAGCAGTGATAAGCTACCTACAGTATGTAATTCTGCCCTCAACTACAATCACATAATGCCACTGAAGAGGCTCAGGTCACAGCAGTATGAACTGCATGTAGATTTAATCAGTGTTACAAAAAAAAAAAAAAAAAAGAAAGAAAAAATCATAGCAATCAATCTCTCCACATCTTTGTTTCAATACACATTGGTTACAAACGCTAGCAGTTGGTTTCTGCTTATGTCTGCTTTACAAAAGGCTTCAGCTTTCACCACTGTTCAGGATCTGCTTTCAGCAGACATCTGAAGATTTTTACCCCATTAACCCACTCAGTATATAAAACTACTAATAGAAGATACACTCCTGCATTACCAACTCTTCCTAAAGCATTAGGAACTTTTATCTTCTGTAAACAGGTCTTCAAAATTATGATTAAACAAATAAGCAAACAAAAAGGTGACACACAACATTTATTGGTAACTTGAGGATTCCTCTTCATAGAATTACTCTTTTGGTAAGGCATTTAAATGCCTAACTGCAACTCCTAATATGGCTTTCACAATGTTGCTAGCATATTGCCAGAAAAAGACTTACTTTTGGCACATCAACTGCCACCTCTCTCATGGCGCTGGGCCTGACATCATTCATCCCCTGTAGGAAGTCATTGAAAGCAATCATCACTGACCCAGCCACCTCGTTGTCTAATACATTAGGTCTTTTCCCCAGTGCTCTCCGCAATGCGTACAAACCTATTAGAAAAAAAAAATGGAAATATGTAGACTTCCTCTTGGTTCTCACAAACAGACAGTGTACATCATACAAACACAACAGCACTGGAAAGAAAATTCTGTTCAAAAGAATTTATCAGTGCTGGGCCTTAAGTAGGTCAAAGAACAGGTGAGACACTTCTGATGAGAGCACAAGAAAAGGGGTATTTAATGACCACAGACAGAATATAAACTAAACCTGTTCCAAAAGACAGAATTAAACAGCCATGACCTTCCCAGAGATGAAGCTAACAGGACAAAACCTCCAAAGGTCACACATTGATCCAAACACATTTCTAAAGCACAGAGGAAGAAGGATAATGAATATTCAAGGCAAACATTAATAAGACATTTGCAAGCTTGTCCATTCCTCTATTAGTAGGACTGTATTTTCCTAGCTGCTCTTAAAAACAAACTGATGAGATTTCTTTTACTTTCATTGGAACCCTATTTTGCTATTCAGTAAGACGCCAGACACCCATATTTTTCTTGATATGCAAGAAACATTCCCTGCAACACTCAACAGCTCTTCATTCCCTTCAGTGATCATATGATTCAAACAGAAGCAGAGCTTCTACCTTCTCCTTTGTTTGGCCAAATCCCCTGCATACAATACCTATAAAGCTTGATACTAATTCCTAGCTTCCCCCTTTAATTCTATCCTCCAAAACCTGCACAAGTCCCACCCATCAATATACCAGTACTCCTCGGGCAGGACCAAGCAGTACCATCTGCAGTACCCAAGCATTCCTCAGAGAGAGCAACTACTGCCCCGGTTGTGTAAGATGCCCAGAAGCATCATGGTGTTCCTGCTATATAATCATGCCTTTTAAGGTCTAATATAATTTGGAGTTCTATTGCTTCTATTCCCAGCCCTGTTCTGTGAACTGAAACTGTCAAATATGTCATTTAGTATACTATTGCATGATGAGTATAATCTTATATACAGGTAAACACACATGTAATATCTGTTGTCACGTGTTACAAAAAAAAGAAAAAAAATGAGGCAGTATTAAACCAATGCACCTTGCATGATCACACAAAGATAAACCTTTGCTATATTTAACTAATCAAAACATCAATTAGTGCTACATGAAAGGACAATAACACGGATAAGCTACTTCTGAAAACAGAACTGGTTTTAACTTCCAGCAGATATTTTCTACAGAGGCCCCGGCAGATGCAAACATGTAAAGTTTCTGACAGTGACAGGAATTCTGAGTTTTTGACAATATATACAATGTGTGAAGAGATGTAATATCTCCCCTGTGAAGCAGTACAGCTGGTGTTTCTCCAGAAACTGCCAATTATGGCAGAGTCCGAGCACCTGCATTCAATACCCAGGCTCTTAATACAATAATGGAGAGGGGAAGGGTGAAGTCTGTAATTCAGGTTTCCCCTTGCACCGAATATCCAGAACTAATAAGACATAATAAAAGCATTTAAAGAGGCCAAGGAATGAAATGAAAATCTGGTCACCAGAGGACAAGTATAAAACATAACTGACTCATTTTAACCATCCTGACAATTTTCATGTTATTCCTCCCCCCACCCTTCCTTTCTTAGAAAGAGTTCCTTTTAGGCAAACAAAAACTTACACAAGACAACACAGATGTATCCCCACCCACATTTAAAATTTGCATCCAAGCAAATAACAAACTGGGTATCTTATTCTAGTGCCACTGCAGTTAATACTTTGGGGCTGAGAGCAGGTATTGGGGTTGACTCCTACAGGTCCTTTTTGATGAAGTCAATTCACTCCACTTAAAAAAAAAAAAAAAAAGAATAAATAGCATATTATGAAATTAAGTCATAGAGAAAGCAAGCAACTGGTAAAGAACTCTGCTCATTTCTATACATATCTGCTCCATTGCTCCATCACGCACCAGTCTCATTTGATCCCTTTTAATGGTGTCGTGGATATTCTTTTTTTTTCATGACACGAGGAATTCTTAAAAACAAGCAAGTTTATTTTGAAAATTGAGAGACAACAGGACATAAAAATGCCTAAGGAGAATTCCACTTTTAAGGACCATTACTGCCAGGGCTACCAGGAGTACAAGTGAAATTTCAGTCCTCAGCAGTGGGTTTAAGGTGCAACAGCCTTGATCCAGAACAGGAATAAAGAGGTCACAGCTTTCAAACAAAGCCTGAATTGATTTTAGCATGTGCACGCACACGCCACTGCACAGGTCAGCATTTAATTGAAACAATGTTTTACATTAAAACAATAATAAAAAACAGATTGAAAAAGAAAGCATGATTTTTCCTGTTTCCTCCTGTTATCATAATCATTCTTTCCTGCATTTCAGATTGACCTCTAACCCGGGGCAGGGAGAAGGAGGAGGGAGTGGGGAGGAAAGAGGGAGGTGGGAAGTCTCAGTAATAGGATACAGGCAGCAGCTTGCCAGAGGCAGAAAAACACATCCTTCCCTCAAGATGCTGAAAGATCCTTATTTAATGTAAGAAAAAGCAGGGTAGGCTGCAAAACATGCTGCTAGAAGCGACACAGAGGCAAAGGAGGTGAAACACTACAGCAAAGCCAAGTTTATCAGTACTGGAGTTATAATGTAGATAAACTGAAGATTCAGACACAGCACCTCAAAAAACACTGAGCATCTCAGCTGTCGGGCACTCTTCATGGGCATGTTCTGGTTTGAGTGTATATCAGCGCTATGAACTGCCTCTGAGCACAGCATTTGTTACAGCTCTGCTTGCTCATTTTCCAATGCTACTTCATTCTTCAGGATTCATGAATATCAATAGCCTTTTGGCAGTGACTGACCAGGCCCAGAAACAGGCGGCTAGGTTTTCACTGTTTTATTCCAGCACAAGTCCTGTGTGAGGGGAGGAAGGATGCAAATATAGTCAGCGGGATAGTTCACACAGGCATGGGGTACCTATTTCTAGCAAAGGGATACAAGACTGGTCCCCAGGACTAGAGCCTTGGGCAACATGGTCTAGTGCGAGGGATTCCTGCCCGGCAGTGGGGCTGGAATGATCTTAAGGTCCTTTCCAACCCAAACCATTCTATGATTCTATGACTACGCTGTGCAGAGCAGAAACTTAACTCATAAGGCAGCCTTTGCAATAGTGAACAGCACTGATTCTCAGTAGGTCACAGATGGAAAATCCCTGTTTAAAAAAAAAAAAAAAAGAAAGAAAGAAAAGAAACAAACATAATAAATCATGCATGATTACAAACAATGGAAAATAATTTGTTCCAGTCGGGCAACTGTATGTTCTACCTCACTAATTCACCCTGTCTGTCTAGAACAGAGGAAACTAAGTGAATAGAGGGGAAAAAGCCAGCAGAACACCCTGTCCTGGTACAGATGATCCCTCTTTGGTATCAGGCTATGGTACCATATCAGTGGCATTGCTTCCCTGAAAGATTTTATTGCTCATAGTTTAGCTAAGTATGGCACATTAGATCGTAATCACAATGTCTAACCCTAAAAATAGACTCTACAACGCTTAGACTTGCCAGTCTGTGTATAATCGTACACTACTGCAAATAATAGAAAGCATCCACTCAAAACAATGAACATATACACTTTAGGTTTCTGAAACAGAATACACAACACTTGAGGAAACAAACTGAACAAGATTGCTAGTCATGCACCTTTTACTGCCCATCAACTATTTCTTCTGCAAAGCCATCTTGTCTGGGCTTACCCTACCAGAATTCTAATAGCAGAATCTATAAGTAGCTTCAAAGAAATTGTAATTTTCTTGTAAGACTATTTACAAGAGGAAATGTTTTTTCTTTCCCTGCTAATCTGACATTTCCCTCCCAAATTGTTAACAGCCATACCAAGAAGGCGCATACCATTTCTACCTGTGACAGCTGTAAGAAACAACATGATTCTCCCCTGCATGGCTGCAAGTGGAATGCTCAACAGCATATGGAAAGATTTCAGCTTCCTAATGACACCAGATAGGGCATCTTCCTCTACTTCCAGATCTTTACATTCTATACTTCAAGTTTTATGCATAGGAAAAGCATTTTGTATATCTTAAAATCAATTTTGAACTTTATAAACCGTAAGAACAGTGTACTTGACTTCACAAGCACACAAAAGTTGTTCCACTGTTTGGCTTGGGGGTTTAGTTTAGTTTGATTGATTGTTTTGTGGTGTTTTTTGGTTTGGTGTCGTCCCCACCCCCACCCCGTACATATATGGGAAAATCCCTGAAGAACTTTCATTTCCTGTTCGCACATAAAAGATAATGCCCTTAAATCCCTTGTAACCGTAACATTGCAAATTCACTCAGCCAACCTGAACACTAATCTACTGTAGGGAGTACGTTCACAATTTATAGTCCTTCATGAAGAGCTCTGGCATTTGCTGGAACATGTCTATGGAGCAGACCAAAAGTTGTTGAGAGGTATGACAGCGGAGGGAAAGGAAGGAAGGAAGGAGGAACTGTATTTTCAAAACTTATTTCATACAGGAAACAGTTTAGTCCCAGATCAGGTACACACACATCATTTATCCTAAGACAATGACAATGGAAGGAAATAAGGAATACCAGACTGCCTGTTTGTAGCCTGCTCTCATACATAAATGTAGCTAAGCTAAGGTTTGTCATACGTATGTTAGAAGAAAAATAAGGACTGCCAGGCTACCAGAACAGCAAGGAGAGAAAGACAAGAAGCAATGGTTAGTGGCTAAGTATCAGTCTAATTGTAATTAAGAACACTGTCAAGTCAGAATACAGCAAAAGTTGAAGTCAGAAGATCTACAGGAACTTTGCCTGAAAACAGTGACGCTCTGTCCCCAATAGTGGCTATTCATTCTACATACAAATGCCTACTGCTGATTTTGCTCCTGTAGAACTAACACAGACATACAAATCGAGCCACATTTCAGCAGAAGATCTTTTATTGATTAAGCAAAAGAACTAAGACTGCTTTCAAATCCTAAGTTCGCCATTATATATTCCAGGAAGACATTTTACCTGGAGCCTTACAGGGA